GAGATGAAGTATAGTAGACCACTGCTATAAGTAGAATTAGCATTTGTACCTCTTATATTTTCTAATATCCCAAAGGGATCACAAGTACTCGTAACTCCTGAAAGGAGCCCGATAAATGCTTTTGCTCTCCACCTATCACCTCTGCTACTTTCAAGTTCAACGGAGTCCCACAGTCTTTCCTCGAGTGTCAAACACAGTAAAGGCAGGTGTCATTCACAGTGAGCCAAACTTGTCTTCTTTAAGCTTAGAAAAGTGCTTTGCTGCCATCCTTTTATTGTTCTGAATAGTTCACCCTGTAGTCTTTATATTGCCTCACTGTTGAAATGGCATAATCTAAGCAAAACTTTACCTCAATATGTCTAGAAATGATTACTAGATTGCCTATGACCAGATGTGGGATGGATATTTTTATGTTGTCATTTCCAGTTTGGATACGCAGTGTCAGCCCCAGTTCCTAACAGGGAGCTCGTTCCTCCCTGCCTGAGGAGTACGGGAATATTGTGAAAGAATCATTGTGCAAACTTCAAGGCAATATGCAAATGGGAGAGCTTTCCAGCTTACCTCCTGAAGAGCATCCCTGACCCTCCAGAATCAACAAATTAAAGTCCAACACTCCACTCCCTGGCATTTCTGAAACCAATCTGCAGCCCCAGAAAACCTGTTTAAACGTGGTGGATAACCATCCTGTTGCTATTGATATTGCTGGTGTAGGTGAGTAGCCTCAGAGGGGTATGGCAGCAGGCAATTTGAGGGCAGAGTAGTAGGAAGAACACAGAATGGATCTGATCCTTAAACTAGTTACCAAATTTCTCTAACTACCATCCATCTGTCAATGTGTATACTGTGGTGCCTTGCATGTTGTTGTGATGCTGGCAGCTATGCCACCAGTATTCCAAATATTAGCAGGGTCAACCATGGTGGGCAGGTTTCAGTGGAGCTTCCAGACTAGGAAGAAAGGGCTGGCATTCTACTTCTAGAAATTAGGTAATGAGCCCCCTGGTTGGAAGGCACTACAGAATGGTCACAACAATGCACTCAAATAAACCAATGATTGTGAAGATGCTAAAGGCTGGGCAATGTTCCATTCTGTTATACATAAGATCACCATGTGTCAGAGCTGATTCCACAACAAACAACACCAACAATTTCTCTAAGCCTTTGTTTCCACATCTGTAAAATGGGTATAGTAATTCATTGCTACCTCTTTCATTGGGTTGGTTTAAGGTTAGAATGTATAAAACATGAAACTCTTAATATCTTTCCTGACACAAGTTTGGGTATTCTTAAAATCTCTGCCATGTCTCCAGAGTAGCTGGGTTGGGGGTTGGAAATACAAATACAGATGGATGGGAAGGCCGCAGAGGACATTAGTTGTGTTCAAAGCACAGAACACAAGCTTTGCTGTCAGACCATCCTGTTTGCATTCTAGTTGTCATTAGCCCAAGCACAAGGCACCACATCACCATCTCCCTTAGGATGCAGTTGACCTGCACTTTGACACAATTGATTGTGGTAGTTAATCATTTGTAAATAAGCAGAAAATTGGGTTCACGAGATCCATGTGTGTCCTCCTTCATGTCTGCCTGCATTTAAGAGAAGACTGGATTCTTCAGGGAAACGGGTCCCCTTCCACCTCCTCGTCTTTTCTTACTCAAGGAGGAACCTGAAAATGGTAGAAAAGGCAGTTACATGGATGAATCACACATTTTCTCACCTCCAGATTTTTGTGTATGCTGTTTCCTCTGCCTAGACTATGTGCCATTTAGCTAAATATTTGTCATTATTTAGTCTTCATACAATGTTACTCCCTCCCCAAGGTTCTTTCGTTCCGGACTCCCTGGAAGTTCAGCCTCATAGTGCCCCTTAGTGGCTTCATGTATGTTTCTCCTGAGATCAAGCCAGGAAGATGGCAGCATCATGTTACTGTGATAATAACACACTTTTTTTTTTTTTTTTTAGGAATGGTCTTAACAACTTAATGGACACCCAAGAAGAACTTATGTCACGCAGTGAAGGAGGCAGAGATTGGAGTGATGAGTCTACAAGCCAAGGAATGCCAAGGCCTACCAGAAACCAGCAAACTACCAGGAAGAGACAAGGAAGGATTCTTCCCTAGAACCTCAGAGGGAGGCTACTTCTTCATTCCAGATAGCTAGCCTCCAGAATTGTGAGAGAACACATTTGTATGGTTTCAAGCAGTCTGAGGAAACTAATACATTCTGTTA